AAGCCGCCCTTCGCGACCTCGCTTCCTGCACTATGGCAACGGGGTCGCTCTGGAATCCTCCCTGGGCCCTCCCCTCCCATCTTTCTTAGCCTTGTGAACAGGGGCTGGGCATCTGCGAAGTGCTGTACCTCTTGCTGGGATCTTCCACGCATGAGACCTCTCTCAGTCCTGTTCTTCACCACCTTGAAGAGGCCCTTTGCAGTAGATTTTGCCCAATTGTAATAAGTTTAAATTCTTGACCTTTGCTACCATAGATACTGATCCAAGTAAAATTAAATCCTTGACAACTGCAATCTTTTCACTGTTTATCATAATGTCTATTGATCCAACAGTGAATATTTTTGTTTTCTTGATGTTGAAATGTCATCCATACTGAAGGCTGTTGTTGTTATGTGCCCTCGAGTCGCTTGTGACTCATAGCGAGCGACCCTATGTACAACAGCCCTAAACTCTGCTCTATCCTGTGCCAAACTCATTGTCTTCGACACACCTTCTCCCACTACCCCAATCACTGAATCGATCCATCTCATTCAGGACCTTCTTCTCCTGCACTGTTCCTCCACTCTCCTAAACATGATGTCCCTCCCCAAGGACTGGTCCCTCTTTGCAACATGCGCAAAGCATGTCAGACGAAGCTTCAGAACCCTTGAATCCAAGGAGCAGCCTGGCCTCACCCTCTACAGGACAAAACTTCTCCCAGCAGTCCATGGTATATTCAACACTCTTCTCCGGCACCACAGCTCAAAGGCATCCATTCTCTATCATCCCTAGTCACTGTCTAGCTCTCCGATGCATAATCACGAAGACTATAGCCTGGATCAGGTTCACCTTTGAAAACCCTATGTACAATAGAACACACTTAGACTAGCAGACATGAAATCTCACATATAGAAACACAAAGAAGGAGGAAAATCTGTAACAGACACTAGTGATTGGAACATGGAATGTGAGAAGCCTGAATGTGGGAAAATTGGACGTTGCCAAGAAAGAAATGTAACTCATGTATACTGACGTACTAGGTCTTGGCTAAGTGAGATGGCTTGGCATGGGATATTTCGAATCAAATGATCATATGATTTCCTATGTCGGGGATGAAATGGTGAGAAAGAATGAGGTTGATTTCATAATTTAAAAATGTAATTTCTAGATCCATCACGAAATACAATTTGGTGAGTGACAGGATAATATCCATATGCTTACAAAGAAGTCCAGTGAATACCACTATCATTCAAATATATGCACCAACAACTAGAGTCAAAGAGGAGGAAATAAAAGATTTCTACCTACTTTTGCAGTCAGAAAATGATCAAACACGGAATCAAGATGCATTGACAATAATGGGCGACTGGAACACAAAAGTTGGGAACAGGGAAGAAAGATCCGTAGCTGGAAAACATGGACTTGGTGACAGAACTGAAGCTGGAGACAGAATGATAGAGTTCTGCACATTCAATGATTTATTCATTGCAAATATATTTTTAAATGATATTGTTTTGTAATTTATGTGTTACTTTGAATTAATTTTTTAAATTAATTTTAATGAAATTTTACAGAGACATAGGGTTTCCAGTCATTCATTGTTGCAATTTTTGCCCTACCCACGCCTTCCCCTCAATTCACTCGTCTTGAAAAGAAAAAGAAAAACTGTTTCATTGGCATGCAATTCCTCCCCCCAAGTCCACTCTACTATGCAGCCTTCACTCTGGACATCTGTAATGACAAGAATACCCATTCATATGTCCCTGTTAAACAGTTCTCTCCTTCATCTGTTTCAGTGCAATATACAGCGTTTCTCCCCTCCTTTTCTGTCTTCCCAGCGCGATATCAGTCCCATTTCACAACAGTGGCCCTATGCAATATTTGTCCTTTTGTGACTAAGGTATTTCACTCAGCCTAATGTCCTCGGGGATCATCCATTTTGCATAAT